ACCTAAACTATTCTGTGATCAAATAAATGATTCAGAGAAGGGAAATCGAGAGACCAAGGAGTCTTCTATGCATGCACTGCTTTCCCATCCATCTCTGTGGAGTATCCTGTATTTCTTTGTGGCACTGAAAATCAATGTTATATGAGGCTGACATATTTTTCAGGGTCAGCTCTTAGTGTTTACTCTGTGAAAAGCAATGCTGGCTTAAAAACACCCTAAAACTGTCAGGGCAGTTTGGGACTGGTTTGAAGTGTCAGAAGGGTGAGCGTGCTTCAGCCCCAGTGCTGGCTGTGGGGAGTGTGGGCTTTGTATGACTTCAGTTCCCAGTGGGTCACTGTTCTGACGTGTGCTCCATGCTGGTGCAAGTGCTTGTTCTGCTCACAAGCTGGGTAGAAGGTGTAGGTTTAGTGGTTATCTTGCAGCAGAGGCTGGAGCTGGGCACAGACATCATCTTGAGCTTTGAGGGCCGCTCTTTGCCTCGTGCCCTGGGACAGCGTGGTCAGGGCATGGCAGCTCAGGCTGCTCTTGCCCTTTATTGACTCCCCTGAAATGCTCTGTTAAAGGGAGAGGCTGGGGCTAACCGCAGCTGGTGGAGGCTTTCCCGTGCTGATGACTGGGGGGTGTGTTAACTTCATCTGCCCTGAGCGCAGGTCCTAGTTGGTATAATTTTTCCTTTTTGGGTAATTACTGTTTTGCCCAAGTTGACCCTGGCAACATCTCATCTAGGCTGCAGTATCTTTCTTTCTGTAACATCAGAGAAAAGCAAAGCTGCCTGGGTAGCCCTGTAGCTTTTATTATGCATCTTAATGGTGGTGGTAGCTTGTAGAAGCCTCCACCATGCCCTCCCAATTTCATTTGGAGTTTTGGAAGAGAACAGCAGAGACGGTGGTTTTTTTTTTTTTAACATTTAAAGCATAGTGTATCCTTCTCTATTTAATTATTACAATTCATTATCTTCATAGAAGGCTGTACATAGGTGAAAATATGAAATCTCACTGAAGTTTCTAGAGGAAATGTCCTGTGAACAGTCCGTGAATAGGATAGCTTGGAGCCCAAGGGTACTTTCCTCACAGCATTACCGTAGCTGCATGAATCCCTACCATTCTGCTGGGCTCCTCCGACGCCATCCACGTGCGGCTCACTCCCTCTCCGCTCCTGACAGCGGCTGGGGTGGGAGAGGCTTTTTCTGCCCCCGAAGTGAGCTGTTATCTGGGTAAAGGCTCCATCTACACGAGGACAATAATGGTTTTGTGACTACAGCCCTGCACCTGCGAGTCACGAAATCCCAAATGACGGTTTCTCTTAGGCTTATCCCCCGGCTTTGGGGTGACTTGGTGACCGACTGCTGAACGGGTGCAGAACTGCCGTTGCATCTCATTTCCAGCCCGGTCCCAGCCAGCTTCTCTTTCTTGTTTCCGCAGGCCAAAAAATGGTGGGAAATACTGTGTGGGTCGTCGCATGAAGTTTAAATCCTGCAACACCGAACCCTGCTCAAAGCTGAAGAAGGATTTTCGGGACGAGCAGTGTGCCGACTTCGACGGGAAGCACTTTAACATCAACGGGCTGCCCACGAACGTGCGCTGGGTTCCCAAATACAGCGGCAGTAAGTGGCTGGGGGGGGATGCACGTCCTGTGTCACCCTGTCAGGTTGATTTTATTGGATAAAATACTTGCTGGTTTTTCCCCCTGCCGTCCCCAGTCCTGATGAAGGATCGGTGCAAGTTGTTCTGCCGGGTGGCGGGAAACACAGCGTATTACCAACTGCGGGATCGCGTCATCGACGGGACACCCTGCGGCCCCGACACCAATGACATCTGCGTGCAGGGCCTTTGCCGGGTAAGGACGTTCCCTTCTCGTTAGCAGCGGGGGTTGGAATTTTGCACGGCATGCCGGCACTTCCGCGCCTCTCTGTACGCAGTGCCCTCTTCGCGCGGGGGCTGCCGGCAGCATCCGCCGGCTCCCCAAGCCCTGGCTGGGCTGAGGCTTGTGGCAACCTCTGGATTTGCAGAATAGCCGTGCATGGAGGATGTCTGTGTGTCTGCCCTTTGTTACTCAGGGCCGTGGAGGTCCGAGCATGAATCCAAATGACAGTTCCTTCTGTGCTCTGCCCTGGTTCTTCCCGGTCAGACCCTGGAGCGTTTTACATTTCCATTCCCAATTATTTTTCACACTTTTCTCTATGGCAACAACTGATGCGACGAGTTTTCTCTAGCAAAGGCACCGCCTGGTGCACATGGCAGTTGTGATTCTGGCTTTATAAAAAAAGCCTTTTGTTTGAAAACGGTGTGGGATGGCCACACTGTAAATCAGCGGAAAAATGTGGGGAAGCAAAGCAATTTGTCTCATGGCAGCCTTTTGCATACAAAGCTCTTGTGTGCCTTAATTGGGAGGTTTGTAAATGCTGTTCGAGTCTGGATTTGTTCAATCTAGTGTTTTTTTCAATTTTTCTCTTAAAGCAAGCTGGATGCGATCATGTGCTGAATTCAAAGGCAAGAAGAGATAAATGTGGTGTTTGTGGTGGGGATAATTCTTCATGCAAAACTGTTGCGGGCACATTTAACACGGTGCATTATGGTAAGAATCTGTTACTAAAAACTTTATAGTGAAAAATGTGGGTCTATAAAAGCCATTACCACACTTAAGCTACAAAAACACTGATGTATAATGTGAAATCCTTCTAGCTATAGGATATTCCATTTTATAACTATTTATGCTATCCCTAAATGAAAAGTATCAGCTTGTGTAATGTGAAGTAATTTTGCTTATTTCCCTTTCCCCTGTAAAAAGCAAATGAAATGTCTGTGTAATAGCCTTGACTTTCTGTTAAATCCCTTCTAGGCTATAACGTCGTGGTCCGCATCCCAGCTGGTGCAACTAATATTGATGTGCGTCAGCACAGTTACTCAGGGAAACCAGAGGATGACAACTACCTGGGTGAGTTGCGGTCCTTGTGTCAGTCCAGAACTCTGCTTTATCGTCTGGTTGTGGTGATAGAGCAACTGGCTTCTCCTCTGCCAGCGAGGATGAAGCATTTGTTCAAGGGAGGGGTTTTCTTATTGAGAATTTAGCTCATATGTCTACCCAGCATTCAGCCTTATCTTGCTCCTTCTTTTTGTCCATGCCATCCTCGATGCAAAGTTTGAGAGGCTCTTAGCTTTTAAGGAATATCCCCTTAGAGTATCTTTGGGTCTGGGAAGGACTATTGAGCCTGGGCTGTGGGTGGGAGCTGGGGTACAAAGCTGGGAACCAGACTTCTCAGTTCTGCTGGAGTCTCGTCTCTGCTGTCACCATGCCTTGGCTGGAGGGTACATATGCCATACCCTGAGAGACTTGTGTACAAACAAGTCCAAAGAGAAATTATTTTCTAATCCTCTGAGAATAATAGTTCTGATTTCACTTAGGCTGAGCCCTTCTTGTCCCTGCCTGACACATGTAACTGTAATGAAATAGCCTGAGCCAAAGATGTTGGTTTGATTTAAACCTAACAGTAACTTGGCCTTCAGCTGTTGGACATTCATAGTCACCCTCTAACGTGTGGATATGTCTCTAGAGCCAGATGAAAATGCTTCCGGTGCTCTGCCAGACCAGCACACATGCTTTTAGCATGGCCATGTGTTTCTTTGGGTTTTTTCCCGACATGCTGATCAGTAATTTACCCCACGGAGAGATCAGTTTGGGTTCAGTAGTGGAGATAACAGAACTCCACATTACGACTGACATGACACCTGCCACTTGGAGGCTGGTTTTGCCATTAAGCTCTGTTTGTGTCCCTCAGAGTCTGTTCTGGCTGACGACGGAGCACAGAGTCAGGCTTTGGCCCCATGCGGTCCTGGGGAGATGACTGCTTTCCCGGCTCTGTTCCCTCTCTTTGCACACCTCCTGGTAGTGCAGGGTTCCTCACTTACATCCTGGAGCAGGGCACTTGATCTCATTTCATCTCAAAATCCATGAGTTGTTGAGCATTTTTGCAAAATACGGAGCTCAGCCCAACTGCTCACTGTATTTGGGTATGTTAAAAGTGGGACTAGACTGGTGATTCCCATCCCGTTGAAGGGCAGGGAACTGATTTCTTTGTGTCACTTGAGAAACAAGTAGAGGAGACTGTCGTGCACCAAAGGGAAACGGTGCTGACGGCTTTGGCTGTCGCTCTGAGAAGCCATCCATGTGGCTTGAACCCTTTGTTCGGGCACAAAATTTTGGGATGGGTCCTCCCTGTCCTGCTGGGGCGACATCCTGTCCTTGTATGGACATGGCCGTTGCCTTACAGCCGCGTTGCATCGTTTCTGCACCTTCACAAGCGAGATGCTGCAGCACGAATGCATGTTGGTACCAAGAAAACCTTACCCAGATGGGATAGTTTTCCACACTGGGTGAGGGAGGTGCGTTTCATTACTCCTCTTTCCTAGAAAGACCATCCTTCCTGTGTTGTTCCTATTCAAACTGGTTCACCCCAGAAGGAGCCCCAAACTCAGCTCTTCTTGGAGGGCCTTTAATCTTCTTGGGAAGCAATGAAGTCAAATCTTCTTTAATGTTGCTTTAATATTGCTGGGAAAGCATCTCTTTGCATTAGGCCTGAATAGAAGCAAATGAGAAGTGTGCATGTGTCCACTTATTTTGCGGCTCACTGAGTGTGAAATCTTGGGCCCTCAGTACTGTGAACCTTGTAGTTGCTTAACAATTTAGGAGGAATTTGATGTTGTCATCAAGTCCAAGACCTGTACCTACTGTTGTAGGAGATACAGTAAACGGGAAGGAATCCTTTAACGAGTTTTACTACTGCCTAATGACATTAAAGCCCCCAAAGTGTGGAATTTGGTTGAGTATAGCGTGCGCCTTGCGAGGTTTTTCTCCATCTCTGTCTGTTTGCTACCAAGCAGTGTTTTGCTTCATTATCTCTCCTCATTTTGTGTAAAAAGCTTCCCTTTGGTGTTTTAGTGTTAAGTTTAGGTTTTTTAGTACAGAGGCTTTGTAGTAATGTAGCTGTGATGGGTGAAATGGTGGGGAAACTAACTTAGGAAATTAGCTACATAATCGCATTAGTGTGAAGTTGTGCAGCAGACTGCTGTTTTCAGGAAACTGTTCCTTTTATAAAGCATTTAGGCTTTAAGCCTTCAGTGCTTTCACATACCTTAAGATCTGGAATAATAAAAAGTATGGGGGACGGAGGAGGGGGGAGAGGAGGGAGAGAAGGGGTCAGATACTGACCAAACTCCCTGTAATTATCTATTAGAAAATGACGTTTGGGCAATTAGGGCTACACACATTTACCCTAAGAACACACCTGGAAACCACGGGGAAGCCACCCTATCCGCACGGCTAACAAAAAGCTTTGGGCAGGATTATTCCTGCGGCGTAGGAGAGGATGCAGCCCGTGTGCGCTGCGTACAGCAGCTGGCCCCGCATGCCTTTTGGGTATCTCCCTGCCTTGGGTTGTGGGTGAGTTATTTAGCAACAACTTTGGGCATTCAGCCTTCTTTTTAATGAGGCTCTGCGGTGGAAAAAAAAGAAGGCACGATCTCTGTAAGAGCTCTGCTCTACATCCTTTCTGTTTGAGGGTGCCAGTGGGTTTTTCCTCCCGCCCCGGCGAAAGGGAGCACTGAGAGCGCGTGACTCACGTTGTTATGTACGTATGAGTTAATTCTGCGTCTTTAGTTCTTGTTTTTTGCACCTATGCAGCCTTATCTAACAGTCAAGGAGACTTTATATTAAATGGAGACTTTGTCGTCAGTATGTTTAAAAGGGAAATCAAAGTTGGGAATGCTGTGATCGAATACAGCGGATCGGATAATGCTATTGAAAGGATTAATTCTACAGATCGGATTGAGCAAGAAATAACGCTTCAGGTGAAGTATATGTTGTGCGTGTGGCAGAGTCCGCTCAGCGTTATTGGACTGAAAACAGTGGGCAGTGCAGTCTGTTGGTTTACTCCGCTTCATCTGGTCTTCCCCTCAGGTTTTATCAGTGGGCAATTTGTACAATCCCGACGTTCGTTACACGTTTAATATCCCCATTGAGGACAAACCTCAGCAGTTTTACTGGAATGCTTATGGCCCGTGGCAGCCCTGCAGTAAACTCTGCCAAGGTGGGTGCTTGGGAAGGCTTCGTTTTGTCCTGGATTTGTCTGGGATCTGGGCAGTACTGTCAAATCCCTCTGATTCTTTTGAGATTCTGACGTTGTGGGGGTGCTCCTGTCCCTGGGCTGTAGCTGTAGATAATTGTACAAGGTGTAGCCCTGCTCTGCTGCTTCTGGGTGTCAGAGCCTTTGCAGCCCTCCTGCACCCACCAAGCCTTACAGCCTGGTTTGCAGGTGAGGAAGCTCAGGCGCAGGAAAGGTGACATGGCATTTCCTAAGGCTGCAGAAGGCATCAGTGGCTGGTTTTGGGCTGATATCCAGGCATGGCCGGTGCTGACCCTGTGAACACCCAGCGCCCATCCTTTCAGGCGGGCTGCAGCTCTCTGCCTCCAGCTGCTTGTCTGCATTAAACCCTTCCTGCCCTTCCTAGAGAGTCTTAACCCCCTCCCTGTTTCTGAAAGAAATTTAAAAGCGTAGTTAAACATCTTGCAAATGCCACTATAAAATAAGTAAGAGAAATGACTGATTTGATCGCGGGTGTTTTCCTGTGCAGGAGAACGAAAACGGAAACCCGTGTGTACGAGAGAGTCGGACCAGCTCACGGTGTCGGACCAACGATGCGACCGAATTCCCCAGCCCGACCCCATCGCTGAGCCTTGTAGCACAGAATGTGAATTAAGGTGCACTCTACTCAGCCATGTATATACTTTACATCGTATATTTATTGTTTACTCCTCTTTCCTTTCACCTCTCACCATAATTCCTTTTCTCACCAGATTGTATTGGATTTAAAAAAAGAAAAGGATTAGCAGTTGCCTCTTTGTCAACCAAGAGGGATTGACATCCACCAGCTGTGTTTTGAGAGGCACTTTTTCTACATTTTCACATTTCTCTTGTTGGATTAAATTAGTGCTAACTAGAAAACATTTCACCTAATGTGGAAAAATCTCCCTGTGCAGTGAAATGCCTGAAATTCACATCTGCCTGGATCAGAAATGCTCAGCATCATCCTATAAACAGCCGGCAAAGAGAGGGGAAAAACATATGCTTAATGCAAAAGAGTAGCTAAGTCTTGGATTTATCATCATTTGCTTAAAGTGAAGAATAGGCTTCAGTGTAGAGCGGGTTTGGGGCTGTCCCCAGACAGCTCCTGGTGAGCTGGAATTGGTGGAGCACAGACTAGATCATCACAACCCATTTTCCTTTAAAAAGCAATCTGTTTTCCTTTCTGGAGCTTAACTGTGGTGGCATTAAAGGGCTGCTGGTGAAGCAATTCAGATGGATGTGTTTCCCAAGGGGTTTCCCTGGCTATGCTAAACCAGGGGCTAGTGGGGGATGTAGGTCGGGTTGTCGCGGTAACAGCTGTTGCCATTGCAACAGGTTGGAAACTTGAGACGGGCAAATTCAGGAGTTTGAAAAGCGGGCAGGAATGGGAGCACTCCACCATTCAGGAGCTATTGACTCCAAATCCCCTTGATCTTATTTTCCTAGCTGTGCTGAGGTTTGTGCTCTGGCTTGGGAGCTGGGCTCTGCAATCCCCAAACCGTCTCCAGGACTCCCAGGGGACATCGCTGCCCCCTTCCCTGGAGCCTCTCTGCAAGGTCCAGGGGCAGTTGGCTCCTGCTGACCCCAGGGTCTCCCACAGCTCCCTGGATCAGGCCCCATCTCCAGCATCTCTCACCAGAGCGAGGGCCAGGGCTGATGTAAAGCCAGGGGTATAGCCCCAGAGGGGTCCTCGAGGGTCACCAGTGCTGGCCATTGCTGCCCTTCCCAGGAGAGATGCACCAGGGTGGGAGTCAATCCGTCAGGGGACATCCCTGATCCCCGCTGACCTTCTGGGGCTCATGCATCTTGAAGCAAGCCATCAGCTTGTGCTTTGGAGTGCTGTTTTTCAGGCATCCTGAGCTGTGGAGTGTCTTGTCACACCTCTAAGCCTGTGAAGATCATTTGCTGGAGCTGTATTTTTCAGCTTTTCATTCTTAGAGGCCGAGGTGGCACTCCGGCAGGTCAGTGTGGGGTAGAAAGCCTTCAAAGCACTGCTCTTGGCCTGGCCCACGGGCTCCTGGCGCTCTCCCGCAGGGATGCAGCCTGGCTGTGCTGCCGTAAGAGACCCGGTGATGATTCCTTCCCTCTAAGGAGCAATGCCAGGGTTAATTGCTTCATGGTTTTGGCAGCCACAAAGTGTTGGGAACTACTGTAAAGAGCCAAAACATCCAGTTCAAGAACATCTATCCCTTATTTATGCTGGAGACGTTACCTGCAGAGTCCCAGAGCCCCCCAGCTCCTTCTGCCTCTTGTGATCCTCTCCAAGGCAGGCGCCTTCACGCGGGATGGTGGGTTTTCGCTGTGCTGAGGCTAACGTTTGCTCTCCCTGGCTCAGGTGGCACGTCGCGAGGAAGAGCGAGTGCACGGCCCAGTGCGGGCTGGGCTACCGCACCCTGGAGATCTACTGCTCCAAGTACAGCCGGCTGGAGGGGAAGATAGAGAAGGTCGACGACCGGTTCTGTAGCAGCCAGCCCAAGCCCAGCACGAAGGAGAAGTGCACCGGAGACTGTAACGTGGGCGGGTGGCGGTACTCGGCCTGGACTGAGGTAAGGGATGCTCGGCAGTGGGGCAGATGCCGTCTCCTCCTTGCATGCAGCTGTCAGGCTGTTTAGTTTGCAAACAGCATATAAAAGTTAGCTACAGTGATTCTGCTTCCAGTGCTTTTTCTGGAGGACGCTATAGTCCAGATCAACCTGGTACTCCTCATTTTTCCCTGCAATGAATTTACGGGTTGAAGCATCCCAAGGTCTGTCTTCACTAGGCTGAGCCACGCTGGCTGTCTTCTCCCACCAAAACCAGCCCCACTGCCGGGACCATCAGTAGACAACTTCTGAGATTTGTTTCCATTACACTTTTTAGCTTTTCTGTGGCCAAGAATATTCCTGAAGGCAGATCTGGCACCAAGAGTATGATGAGCCTGGGGCTTTCCAGGGAGTGCACAGTGCAGAGGGGCTGGCTGGAATTGCTCTCTGCTAAAATGAGGACAAGCAACAGCCATTTGGGAGAGCTGAAAGGCAACACTTGTAGAAGTAATAATGGGGTTATAAGCCAAAAAGAATTTGTGAAATTCATTGCTGTGAGATTTTATGAAGCTTAGCAAGATTGGCCTTTTAAAGGAATATATAAAGTAACGGCCTGATGCTTGAAGTACAAGTTGTTCTTCCAGAGGTTTGCTGCAGTCTCCTCACAGTCCTGACTGCAAGGAGGGATAAATGGTCTCTCAGCCCTTAAGAGAATGACAGAAAGTATTTACTCGGTGTCTCTCCTTCCCAGTGCTCCAAGAGCTGCGGCGGGGGCACGCGGCGGCGGCGAGCCATGTGTGTGAACACCTACAACGACGTCCTGGATGACAGCAAGTGCAGTCAGCAGGAGAAGCTGACAGTGCAGCGATGCAGCGACTTCTTGTGCCCGCAGTGGAAAACGGGCGACTGGTCCGAGGTAGGTGCTGGCCCCAGGGTGGGCTCACACTGCTGGGGCTGGTGCCTGCAAAGGGACAGCTCTGTCCCTGCTCATCCCTCGTGTTTTGCTTGCGCAGCCTGCCAGGAGGGGTGATGGCATCATGCCTCCTGCAGAAGGTCTCCCCAAGCCGGTGCACAGGGAGGTTTGATCCAGGCAGCAAAATCACTTGCCTGGTCACCACTGGTCAAGTGGCCAATTCCCTCCCTGCAAAGCCACAGGGGGGTAATTCCTCACCAATCCTGCAGTAATTTCTCACTGTTCCTCTGCAGCTTTGGAAAAAAAAAAAAACAACAACAACTTTCTGCCCTCATTTTCCGTTGATATTGTCCTCATGAGCCCTGGCAGCTCTGGCTGTCACTGGAGGGCAGGATTTCACCCTACTAATGTCTTGCTCAGCCCCCTTTCCGTGCTATTTATTACTGTTACCTCTTCCATTGGTGCTGATGTCCTTCACAATGCAACAAAACCACATCTTGATAGGCTTTTCCCTGCAGCAGGACCAGGGATATCGGAGAACGGTCCTTTAAGGCTGCTCATCACCTTTGTGGACAAATAGCTCTCGTTTCTATGAATCACGTTCTTTTAAGAAATAACAAAGGCAATCAAGTTGGAATGGGGATTGTTCTCTGCAAAATATCTATCTTCTGGGTCGAGCTGCTGGAAGAGGCATCAGCCTGCGGGAGCTGAGACCCTTAACATGCACGCTCAGAGCCGAGCCAGTTCTTTGCGAGCCTTTGGCACCCCGTTGTGCACAGCTAAAGTCTGGTTGAGTAGTGCTGTGGCTTTGCCCTACGTCTTGCAGCTGCTGGAAGCAAAGAGCCTTCACGGTCTCGCTTGGTCTGTGCTGAAGGGTCCCAGCCCAGCTGTGCTCTCCATGCTCCAGCTCTGGACTAAATCCGGAGAGAAATCCTGTCCTGCTGCAGGATGATCATGTTTTTTCCAGCACACATGGTCATTAGCTAAATAGCTGCCCCTCGGCACCGGTTTTGAAGCAGTGGTTGCAGGGGGTCCCCAGGGTTTATTTGTCGGTGCTGGGACAGACGCTGAGCTGGCAGCGCATCCCCAGCACTGCCTGAACTTGCGCTTTACTCCTTGCAGTGCCTGGTCACCTGTGGAAAAGGGCATAAACACCGCCAGACCTGGTGCCAGTTTGGAGAAGATCGGTTAAACAACAGGTTTTGTGATCCTGAAACGAAGCCGGAGTCGGTGCAGACGTGCCAGCAGCAGGAGGTGCTTCGTGGCAAGTGGGGCCGTGGGGCCAGGTACCGCAGGGCTGCCGTGGGGCTCCTGGTCTGTGGGACTTCGGTGCTTGTGGCCGAGGCTGGGCTCTACCCTTTCATCCACGTTCAGCCGCAAAACTGTGTTAATTGATTTGCACTCCAAAGCAGCCCCTGTTCGCTTGGGTTCAGCGGATGAACACCAATAACAGTACCTGCCCTTTGTGCTAAATTTAATCTGTGTCATACTAAATTGGCTGTGATTTTCAAAAAAAAAAAAAAGGTTTCCAAGGTTACACTCCTAAATCCGTATTTAGCCATGTAAATACGTGGCCTAATTTTCACAGGAAAGCTGGTCACATTGAATAGCTGTTGTTGCTTTTAATGTTTTCCAGTTTCTGGGTTGGTGAGGGTTTTTTCTTTTTCTGTTAAAATGCAAGTTGCTTATTTCTTCTAGAGTGTTCTGGCATCTATTTTTCCACAAAGCTGTTAGCTCTTGACTTAAAAAAAAAGCAGCAACAAACCCACACCAGTTGTCCCAGTCAGACTTGTTTCCCATCAGCAATATTATTCATTAGCCACTTGTGCTACCATGGGGCTGAACAACCACTTCTAAAGAAGGATATGATGCAGGTTCTACCAGACTATGATTTACTGTGTGCAGGAAAGTAAATCATTTAAATGCTCGCACCTTCATTACCGAGGAAGCAAGTGAAGCGTGTGAGGCTCTGGTGGGCGCAGTGAATTAAAACTTGGACCTAATTTAAAGCTGAAATGCGTGAAGTGGAGAGAAACCAGAAGGGAAGCTGGGTTTTATTTTGCTGCTCGGGCTACGTGTCTGAACACAGGCTGGGCTGATTAATATTTTCTAACCAAAGCAGCGACTCAGCCCGGGCACTTGTTTCTCCCATCTGTCCTCTCCAGTGCACGATGACCTGTGGCCAAGGCTACCAGATGAGAGCGGTGAAGTGTGTCGTGGGCACCTACGTGTCAGTGGTGGATGATAACGAGTGTAACGCTGCGACCAGGCCAACAGACACCCAGGTAAATCCTCCTGTCCCGTCTCCATCTTTTGCCAGTGTGCGTACAGGCACCTGCAAGCTGCAGCGTCAGGGGGCGTCTTGCTGCCGCAAAGGTGATGTTTGTTCCGAACATCAGCCCGTGCAGGGCAGTATCTTGGTCTGCTGTATGGCTGTTGGAGGGGTGCAGCGTAGCTCCTGTTTTGGTGGAGGTGGGATAGAGAAGCTGTATTTGGGGAATTCCCATCCAGACCCTCTCCATCTGGTGAACTTTGTGCTCTGAAGCACCAGATTGCCAAAAAGGCAACAGACAGCTTGGTATGAGGGCATCGAGACTTTGTAGGGTTGAGATTACCTTTTCTTATGGATTATATCTGTGGAGTTCTCGTCATAGGATGGGACATGCGAGGGGCTGTCTGGATTCAGAGCTAAGGCTGGTCTCCAAGAGCTCGTGAGCTAAAGAAGCAGCAGTAGATGAATAAGGGAAGACAACCAGAGACCGGGCGGATAAGATGGGACAGTATTTACTAGCCTCAGAATCTGGGGTCTCAGCACAGCAGACCCCTCCTTTGGCTTGCACAGGGTCTGGGATGTTGGGCTGGGCTGACGTGGCTGCAGGACTGTTCCTGTGTGGTACAAATGATGGGCCATCATCTGTTGTCTGTTGCACGTGACGGTATAGCGTACATGCCAGCTGCAATTCCAGACATATTCTCCTCTGGTCGGATAAATTGAGAAACGTTGCGCACCCTTCAGAAATTCGCTGAGGAAGCTTTCCATGCTGTTTGTTGGTACCTGGAAGCAAATGTGTAAATTCCCATTTCAAGCAGGGGATGTGCCTGTGGTGTCCCAAGGGGCTGAATAAAACAGAAGGTGACGGTCTATCTGTCATCTAGGGAAGTCGTAGTGCTGGTGCCCTGCCCAGCTTCGGTCCCGCGTGACTTCACAGAGTTTAACTAAGGCCACAACATTTAGGAAAGGGCTGTTTTTCCCATGTATGGAGACCAACTGCACTAGGGTTAACAAACCCACTTGTTATCAGCCATCGCTTGGCATGAACGTCGCCAGTGTAAGTAAAATCACAGCAATGCGGAAACCGTTTGTGCCATTTGTCAAGAGCTGCTCCCTCCCTTGCAGTGACAATCAGCATTAATTTCCTTTTTGGCAACGACTACTCGTAGGCTCATGCAGTAAGGTCATGGCTATTCATCATTTCTGTTGCCAGACCTCCCAGGAGGTCCAGACAGGACCTGAACCCTCCTCTTAGGCACTGTACCAAGGCTGAGCAGAATGACCTGCCTGTCCCCAAAACCTTGCATGCGTAATGTGTGGCAAAGACCAGCACATGGGTGTAGGCGGCCTGGCGGGCTGCAGGGAATCAAAGGGCTGCAATCAGCTCGGCAGCGTAACCTCTGTTAAGTGGGCTGCAGGTCTCACGCTGAAGGAAGAGGGCTTTGAAGGGAGATAAAGTTGCTGCTTTGCAGATGTGTGTTCATACCAGAACTCTCTTAATGAACTTTCATCTTTTGCCTGAAAAACATCTGGTTTTAATGCGTGGAGATGGCACATGGCTATGGGGATCCCTATTGTTGAGTTCCTAAGAAGTCAAAAGTCTGCCGAGGTTCTGCATCTGAAGCCCTTGGGGTATTCATACCAAATTTTGCTGATTTACCAAGAGGACGCAAGGAGAAAGCGTGCCAACACACAAGCACGCAGGTCACAGGTTTTCAAGATGTTGCGTGTGGTTGATAATTACATAGAGGAGGAGATGGAAACGTCTGCAAATTCTTTAATTCCCTCTTTTCCTCTCGTGTTTCATGTACAGGACTGTGAAATAGCAGCATGTCCTCCTCATCCAAATAGTCCCGAAGCCAAGAGATCCATATCAGGCATTCACAGGACACAGTGGAGATTTGGATCCTGGACACCGGTAAGCGTGTGTTGTAATACTTTCAGGATTATTTTACGGTAGACGGTGTGATATTTTTAAGTGTGTTTGACTGACTTTTCATTCCAAAGCCCTGGTAATATATATATATGTGTTGGGAAACTTTCTAGCGGAGTCTTTGTTGCTCTTCCCTAGTGCTCCGCAACGTGCGGGAAGGGTACCCGGATGAGATACGTCAGCTGTCGAGACGACCAGGGCTCGGTGGCTGACGAGTCAGCTTGTTTCCACCTCCCGAAGCCGTCGGCCACGGAGATGTGCACCGTGACGCCGTGTGGGCAGTGGAAGGCCTTGGAGTGGAGCTCTGTAAGCATCGCGCCGTCTCTTGCAGGAGAGCTTTGTAGACCTCGTGGCCGGGAACGTGTTTCATTAATCTGTCACGCTTGCCCTTTTCTAACGGGGAAGATTAAGGTTTTCTGCTGTTGGTTGTCAGCAATAGCTGTCTGCCTGATTTTCAAAGCTGGAAATGTGACTGTCTCTCCTTTTCCCACTGTAATGCAGTGCTCGGTGACTTGTGGTCAAGGTAAGGCAACGCGACAAGTGATCTGCATCAATTACAGTGACCAGCTGGTGGATAGGAGTGAGTGTGATCCAGACGACCTCCCTGCCACCGAGCAAGACTGCTCCATGTCTCCTTGTCATCCAAACAGCCATGACTACGGCAGGCCCATCCACCCTTTCCTCTATCCCGATCATCGCCTGAAACTGCACCCCGGAGGCAGCCCGAACCGAAACCGTGCGCATATACCTGGAGGCAATCAGTGGAGGATTGGCCCCTGGGGTGCTGTAAGTGCCCTGATTTTCTTATTTCTGGGGTTGTTTTTGTCCCCCTGGGATAACCCAGGCTTTTCTTAACTTCACCACACAGGGAAAAGGGAAAGTTCTCCCTGCTTTCTGCTCTCCGCTCACACGAACGAGTGTTGCAGCGGGATGCAGGCATCACTTCCTCAGCCTCTCACACCTTGTATCTCCAAGCCTCTCCAAGCAGAAAGCTGACAGCATCATTTTCCATGAGGCAAAGGCCAACCTCTGCTTCTTGGCTGTCTCCTGGGACATTTACAGCTGTGCAGAGCTGTTGCCAAAGCACAGCAGAGCCTTAATGCCAGCTCCTCTCACCCCAACCAGTTTGCAACGCTTTATCATGGAAGTCCCTAAAGGGAATTAAGCACAAATGGGATGTCAAACACTGCATTACAGGCAGCAGGGATTACTCACCTGCTTAAAACTAGGCTCGTGTTTATTTTCTTTGCTTACTCAGCACCTAAGTCATTGCACTGCTATTAGTAATAGCTGGGTTTTGAAGTTAATAATGTCTGTTAGCTGTATTAAATTTCTAGCTGCTCATTCCCACGCTGCAAGGCACTGGGAAGGACCTGGGAATGCAGAATTATTCCTGTACTCATTGAAGCCGTGGGCAATTGTGTCTTGCAGTGCTCTAGCACGTGTGCGGGGGGGTTCCAGCGGCGGGTCGTGGTGTGCCAGGATGAAAACGGATACACCGCAAATAACTGCGATGAGAAAAGCAAACCCATGGAGCAGAGATCGTGCGAATCTGGCCCCTGTCCACAGTGGGCTTATGGAAACTGGGGAGAGGTGAGTGCACCATTCATCTCCCTGCGCAGGGAAGGCTTTCATTAGTGGGTGGCTGAAAAATGGGAGAAGAGGAGGGTAATGCAGTGACATTTATTAGAAAGATGGGAGCACAAGAGGCAGCCTCTAATAAAATGAACCCTAGCAACTGCTTGGTGGTGTTTTCCTTTCTATTTCTCATGGGAAAATTTTCTTCCCAGGCAAAAGCAAACGCTACAAAAATCGAGATTTTGGGGTTTTGATTTTATTTTTAAGTAAAGTCTAGATTAACTTAAGGCCTTTTTTCTTAATGAAAACGCCACTGCCTTCTGAAAATCCATCCGAGATGCGCAGTTAGAAATGTTAACCTCCAGTATGGTGCTGGGTTTGGCAGCATCACTATGGAGCAGCACAAACAGCTTTAGGAAGAGAGAAGCTGAAGCGGCTGATGCCCCATCTGAGGCTCCTGCAGCGTTTGGGGAGGATTTGGCCAGAGTGGGTTGGTTGGGAACAGAAACAACCGTCGGGTCTCGAGAGATGCTAGTGCTTCAAGCGGCCGGCCGGCAGGATTTTTGCTGCCCAGACCGTGATTGCTCTGTCCTTTGCTGATTTCCAGTGCACGAAGCCATGCGGGGCAGGGACAAGAACACGGCTGGTGGTGTGCCAGCGTCCGAATGGAGAAAGATTTACGGATCTGAGCTGTGAAATCCTTGACAAGCCCCCGGACAGAGAGCAGTGCAATGTGCAGGACTGTCCTAGAGATGCTGCCTGGAGCGCTGGTCCTTGGAGCTCGGTACGACCATAAACTCTTTCTCTTTGTGAACCGTTTTGTGGATATCCCGTAACAACAGATTTAATTTGCTTCAAACCAAGGTGCTAATGCTTCGTGTCTTAAAACTGCACTTAAAGAGGATTATTGACAATATATTCAGAATAACACCTGTTCAGGAAGGGCTTAACATTAGGGGAGCTCGAGTCCTTTAATTTAAAAGGCACTTTCTGCTAAGTAGCCACCTTTGTCCGTTTTATTACACCGTGCGAGCGCTGTGCATTAGGAGTTTGGGTTCAGAGTTCTTTGCGTATGGATTTAAACCTGGCGTTCAAGCAGTACATTTCCACTGAAGGTAAATTGTTCTGGTATTGAAGTGTGCTGTGCACCTACTGGTGTACCAGTCGTGTGTTCTCTCCCAAAGGCAAGGTGACAGGGGAAAATGTGTTGTATAGCTGTGTGTACACATGTGTATAGCTGCGTGTGCATGTCCCTATATATGGAAATAGAGATATTTCCCAGCTATATGGAAACACGTGTGCCTTCACACCCGTGTTCTGTTTCTGATCCCGGGCAGATATAATACAGGTGTGATGTACTGTGCAAAGGCACTTGCAGGGTCTTCCCATGCAACTCTCTGGTTGTGGAGAGTTATTGTCTGGCCTGATCTCCAGCTGCTGCTCTAGATATTAAGTCAGCAAGGCATCAGCAAGGTGGTGGAAGGCTTAAAACCCTGGGATTTTTCTAATAACAAAACAGTGTTTGGAGCAGAGGTGCCTTACTCTTCTCCTTTGCCACTGGACGAGTCTGCTACAGAGATGCTCTTACAAGGGCAGTGCAGCCCTGAGCTGGGGGGCTGGGATGCTACTGGGGGTCCCACAGCTTTGAAATTCTCCCTGCCCAGAGCAGCACCTCCTGCTTGGCGTGGAGCGGGTGCTGCCCAGGGCGCTTCTGGCGTGCTGGAAACCACGGACCTGCCGGTTTTGGAGCGTCCATCAACAGACATCGACCTTGTTTTGTATTTTATATGAAAGCATTTGAAGAAGATTTAAAAAAAAAAAAGTTAATTAGACTCAAAAGCACTTTATAGGGAAAAAAAAAAAGATGAAAAAGCCTGTTTGTGATGTGTTGGACTTCCTTAATTGTCACGGTTTGAAAAGTCATCTTGCTAAAACGTAACCGCACTCTGGTTTCTGCAGGTGCTTTCGGTAACGCGGATGCCTTCAGTAACGCTCCTTGATATTTTTGTCATACCTCAGAGAGTTATGCAATAGCCATAAAACTGCTGAACTGGTGTTTATACGGTGCTTCACCAGTACAAGGGACAGCGATATGAAATATTTCATTTGAGGTGCTAATGTATCACTTGTATGCTGATATAGTTGGTGCTAAAAATGAGGGAGGTGAGCTGAGCAGAGCTGGCAACCCGTGCGGTGGCTCCCCCGCAGAATTACCGGCTGCTGCCGACCTTTGCTACCTGTGCCGGACCATTGGCAAGAACCAAGGGTGTGGACAGATCTGTGTTACGTTTTGGTGTCGCTCAGCGTTCGGCTTCTTCACAGCCACGCAGGAGCAGGCTCCAGGGCTGCAGCTGCTCCTCCGTGGTGGAAATGCAGGGTGCAGTCCTCTATTTTGGTTTGGGCTTGGCTTTATTTTTCTCACCCAGGAAAAATTCCCTTGACTGTACTAAGTCATATTAACCTTGGTGGGTCATCCCTTGCTCGATCTCCTGGGAGCGGGTGGGATGTCAGGCAAGGAGACAGAGGGCAGGAGCATCCCATCCTGCCTGTGACATCTCCTCCCAGCTGCCCACGGGGCTCACAGCCCCCTGGGCTCCCCCAGGCAAAGGGGCTGCAGAGCTGAGCCCCGGTCGGTGCCACAAAGCGACTGGATTTTTCAGGTCTTGCTACCGAGGTCTCGTTGGGCTCTGACGTAGGGGACCCCAGAGCTGTTTGAAGACTGAATTATATCGATGGGGTTAAAAGGGCTTTGTGTCCCTCCTGCAGAATACTCCCCATATATGTCTACCTCGTGCTACTACTGTAGGTAGTAACATCCAAATTCTTTTTTCTGTAGTGTGGTGTCACCTGGATTTGCTCTAGCTCTGTCGTCGGTTGCAAACATCATTCTGTAGCTGTACATACTTCATCTGTTGGGATGGAGTGTCACTACCATATTTTTTGGTCACTTTTGAAACAAGAGTATAGTATTAGCTGAAACTTTTCAGCAGTATGGATTTATGTATTTATGTAAAAGTGTATTTATTTTTCCAATATTGTTATTTAATTTTATATAAATATTGCATACATTTACGATGTTTAATGTTAATGTTGAACAGTGAAAATTAAAGACAAGTAGAATGTAATCATAAATGAACTTGTATAATGATTTCTTGAGTCTTTTGCTAAATTAAGTTCATATACTTAGTTTTGGTAACTTTTACTAAATTTTCTGAAATGGTACTGCCATGTTCCATCTTCTTACTTGCTTTGTTCTCCAACAGAAACTGTCTTTCTCAATAATTAAACAAACAGTTAAAAGTGTATCAATTACGAAGTTTGGATAACTGATTTCTTGCAAGGACCCGATTGGCTCAGCATCACTCGAGTGTCAGTGAAATTAGTGCTATAAAATACATACAAATTAAAGCAGAATGAGTCTGAAGAGTTCAACCCTCGGTCCTCGGGCAAAATTTCCCTAGGATTCTATACAGTAAACAAGTGATTTTTATCTGGCTGGTTAAACCCAGGTTTTAAGGAGATAATTAAATGAATAAACAGATTCTGTATGTAAATGATAGTTTTATAACAGGAGGCTGGTGAGGTGCCTTGTCATTGTAATGTATGTTCAAAGAGGACTAAGAGGAGGTGACACTTTTGTTTCCTTGCTCATTTAAGAACATGTATTTAAACACTGCAGAATTGTACACCGTGTGATAGACCTGACCTTTTTATTAAAATAATGCTTTAGAAAACATGCAGAGACCGTCACCAGGATACAGAGTGGTTTTTTCTCCTCTGAATGCCTTATGGCACAAACGCAGATCTCCATACACGCCCTCGAATGCCAGTTCTCCAGAATGAGGGAGATGTTGAGAGTTATTACTCGTTGCTTCACTTAAAACCCAAGGTTGAACCCACTTCTCTCAGAGCAGATCTGCTCCTTGCAATAATCTCTCTGAAATCTTGAGTTTACCATAGTATCCGGCTGTATCCTGATGCAGTTATGAATAACACTAAAGTAACTTGTCCTGGGCTTCTCATTCTTTCCGAGTGAGAAAATGGGCACAGATAAGGTACAACAATTCTATCTCACAGCACCCTGTCCTGGGTCAGTGGGATGATTCCTTTGAGCTTTGCTGCACTGGGACAGCAATCACTTGGCTTTGACCTGTGGAAAATGGGCTAGGTAGGGGTTTGGATTTGGTTTGGGGTGTTTTGTCCTAAAAAGTATTACAGTTTAAAAAATAATCTGCTTTGTCAAGTACTTGGGTATCAAAAGTTCTAGCTGCTAATGCAATGATTGTGTAGCTCTCAGTGACTGCAAAATGGCAATGTGTGCTCCCCAGCACTGTAGCAAACAGGCAGAAATGTCTTGGAGGGCCTTTTGATCTAATAGTTAAATACTGGAAGCCTAGCGTAAAATAATCAGTGTTAGGTGGCTGAGCTCTGAATTCTGTCGTTGTCGATGTGAATTCAGGTTTGGGTTAGGGTGTTGGTGCATCCCCTCAGCTGGAAGCTGGCAGCAGTGATGGCTTTGCAGGGCGCTCTGCCCGCACGCAGGGATGCAGGGAGCGGCAGAGGGGCTCTGCACTCGGTGGGAAGCGGGAGGACTGCCAGGCCAATGTCTGTGCTCAGGATTTTTTAAGTCTTAAAATTGGTGTCAGTGGAAAGTTCAGGTTACTTGTATTTAATTCTGTCAAAACCCCAACACATTTACAAAATGCCTTCCCCATGAAGCTAGCTGAAAATAGGCTGTTCAACAGCAATATTCTCCATGTCGTCGTCCTGATAATACTCGTAGCAGGCAGGATGTCAGCTCTTGCTAAGGCAGAAGCGATAACCAGGGGCAGATTTGGTTGCAAACATATATAACTCTGCTGTTCTCTTCCTCTCTTCTGCAGAAAATGAATTTACTGTGACAGCAGCATTACGAAGCTGCTGTATGATTCTTTACACATGTTTTGCAGTAACAAAGCCATCCTGGAAAATGAAGTGATAGGTATGCTGAACTCTCCAGTCACTCAGTGATTCTCGTTGCTTTTTCTGTCCTTCATTCACAGGATGATGGTTTAGGCTCTGAGACTGTGACAGCGATATTTCTCTGTAGTGCCAAGTATTAGCAGAAAACTAATAAAAACAATCCTACCCCGTGAGCCTGAGGGGAAGGACAAACGTTGCTGCAGCAGAGGAAGGGTGTATGTACGGTCCCAGCATCTGTAACTGAGGCAGAGGGATGCACTGGGTGGCTTTCGTGCCTTTAGAAAAACAGGTAGAAACAGAAGCCTCAGTGAAGATTTAATAAAGCTGATCCAGACTAAAACAGGAACTTGGTAGCCTGTGGATAGCCCCAGCCATCTGTCTGAAGCTGTGTCTGTCTCAGAGCTGTTCGCTGCACGCTTGGGCTGGCCCACAGAGGCGGCTGTCCCTCTTGGGCTCCTGGCTGCTCCTCTCTGGATCAGTCAGACGGACTGACTCCAGGCAGTGCCAGTTTTGGTGTGCTGATGAAAGGCAAGAAGCTGTCTGCTTTGGTTCCCCAGTCAGAACAAAGCCTTTGACACTGCAGCCCTCATTGCTTTTGTTTAAAAAAGCAAACCAGATCCGATTCATCCCTTCCCTGTTCTCCCTGCTTTGTGTCACCCGTCCAGAGCATCCCGCCGCCAGTGCCTGGCTTCGGGCCACCCTCCACAACTGCACATCCCTGGGTGACAGCAGGGGTGGGCAGAGCTGTGCCAAGCCGTCTTACCATCCACCTAGGTGCTGCATCATGCCCTTCTCAGAGCTCATCCCAGAAGGTAAACAGAG